ATCACTCATGAGCTACAATGTATGTGATCTAAACTAGAATGCACACTGAATCCTACCTCAGCATGACACACAACCGATTATGATACAACACTAACTTCGGTCGATCTGGACATAAACAGTTAGGTAGTTAGGTGTCACCCAGTGTCAGATCCTACAGGGAATATTAAATCTATTTTTTGATTACTCTAATACAGATTGCAATGCAGCAAAGAATACACTAGTCTATCTGCAGCTGTCTGTCAGTTGTCAATCAAGTCTGAACTAAATAATCCAAAAATAAAAATAATGCTCCCTGCAGAGATGTATGCTGAATGGCTGTTTATCTAATCAACGCCACGGCGAACAGTTGTCGGAATCCAACCTTTTCCCTATATCCCTCTTGAGTAGCCACTTTGTGTCGACGTTCCTAGGGATCTGGTTGAGCAGCGTGTCTGAAGGTGTTCATTCCGCCCCACCCCTATGCCCCAAGTCAACGCCGAACTTGCCAGCCCCTGCACATTATTTATCCTCGCATGCAACGAGCCTTACACCCGGTTTGATCTGACTGATCAGGAGGCATTTAAGGAGATCCCCCGTAACTCCTCAGGAATTATTTAACGTCGCAGACAGGACGACGATCACAGCCAGAATTAACACCGAGTCCCCGCCAGAAATATTTAGAGACGGTCTGGTAAGCGTCTGTTCAAAGGGCTGGCATGCCCTGCATGACCTCCATTGTGCAGCAGCAGAACCAAGGACTTGCGGCAAAGCACGCGTGTACTAGTCCCAGCGGGTTCGCATGGTGACCATGACCCGAGTGCTTCGTCCAGGGCCCTTCAGAGGCATCGCCCGTCTCCCACCAGCTTGCTGCCCGGGAAGAATGTCGACTCTCAAGGTTGAGCTCTCGCGACACCTCACACTGAGAGGACTCTCAAGACAAGACTCACTTCCTAACGGTAAGAAGCAATGAAGAGGGTCGATAAGGAAGGAAGCAACGTACCTCATAATGCTGCCCCCAACCACAGATTTCTCACCGGCAACCTGATGTGCATTTATGATGACCGGTCTTTGCCTCGGCACAACCAACATCAGAATGCAGTTCCACCTCAGCTTAAATGCCACATCAGCGAGCTCTCATCATCCAGCGTACAGCCCTAATATCACCACATAGCTTCCTGGCGCGCCCACGCGACCCTAGGCCGTCTTACGTTCAACGCCCAAGCCTTATCACTGCCCCACATCTCATGCGAAGCACCGAACAGCTATTGCGAAGAACCAATGAGCGCAGTTCAAACCAGCTCCGATACCAAATTGCAAGGAAATGAACGGAAGCGAGATGACAATATTCAGATTGCACAATCACATTGAAAGCCAAATCGAAACACAGTGTTCAGGAAGTAGCATGGCACCAATATAACACCAATGGAGAATCGTAGCACTGAAAGTCAATGTCAATGAGAGCTTGCTCTTGCCACCACCAACATATGTATCCAGTCTCTATCTCCCTACTTGACGCTCGGCGCCCAGCCTACTCCCTACACAGCTAGGGCTAGCCGACTAATTGACAATGCAACCGTTGACGTCAGCAGCACCCGAAGTACTTGAAGATGTCGCTCATGCAGAACCATTGCCAATACCAGGTATGTGCCCTAACATCATCATCATCATCATCCTTCTCTCTCTCTCCCTTGACTCTCTCCCACGTCTCCCTTTGTTGTACACCTGAAGACCACGCCTCACTGTTCATCCAAGCCCCGCCAGCTATGGAGGCTGGGCTATGGCGCTGCCCTCAGCAGCGCCCAGCTCCCTCCACGACCGCACGTACCTGCACCTCGCCACTCAGCGCTACCGTCTTCCCCCGAACACAACGCACCCTCATTTTCGCTGTATCTGGCGGGAAATATAGCTTGTATACATTCATTTTTATGGTGCGTTATGTTCGGGGGAAGACGGTAGCAGCAGCCCACAATCTTCAGCTCCAGCAGCGCTGCCGCCAGCATGCGAGTGCCCGAATGGCTGGCCAGGCAGCGAGCTCTTTCCTATATGGAAAGAGCCTGCCTCGTTCGGCAGCCTGGCTGGACTGGCCTGGGCCCAAAAGCTTCCTGTAGGCCCCAGGATGCTGCGCCTCTGGTGCAGCTACTGGGCCTCATTCAGTTGGGCCTCCCAACTGTCTGTGTACGAGGCTGTGAATCTCGCCCAGGGCCTGTGCTTTCGGAAAGGCCTAGAAGGCCTGGGAATTTCCACGCTGCTCGGCCTGTGTTTCCCTTCAACCAACTGGCGTGACGAAACTGCCTGGACCCCAAATGCGAAATTGACAGCCAAGGGCCTCTCGTGATTTGTTAGGCCCGCCTTCACTTAGGGCGGGCACATATGCTGCAAGGGGCCCCTTAGGCCTGCCGAGGACCCAAATCCTCGCATCTGCAAAGAAATCAAAAAAAGTACCAAAAATAACCCATCCTGTATGACGATTCCCACATACAAGCACCGCCCCACGCTCAAAAGGCCGAACAACGGGAAGCAACCAACCAGGATGCCAAGACAATAAAAAAAAGCCCGGATGACTGGTCCCACATGAAGCACCGCTACCTGCTGCAAACTAGACCGAATAACGGGGCAAAACCAACCGGGATGCAGACACCACAACACAACAAAATACCCCAACAACGGGGAAAATTACATAAAAAATGGGATGTGTCATTTAGTTTGATATATAAATATATATATATCGTCAAATAGAACTGCCCGGTAAACGGTAGGCAGAGAGGGAGAAGAGGACAACAAACGAGGGGCTGTGACAAACTGTTTCGTCGGAGTTTCACCGACTCATCAGGAGGCTGAACCCTCAACAGTCTGCAGAATCCC